AATTTTGATCGAGAATATTCGAGATAATTTTTTAACTTCGTCGTGGAATATTCGAGAGAATTATTCTAGTTTTGGTTGGAAAAATATCCCATAGATAATCAATCTGAAAATATTCGACAGACAACATTTCTAATTTTGATCGAGAATATTCGAGATAATTTTTTAACTTCATCGTGGAATATTCGAGAGAATTATTCTAGTTTTGGTTGGAAAATATCCCATAGATAATCAATCATTCCTTTTAATTTAGCCAAAAATTTAGCTAAATTGAGTGGATTTTCAGAAGCGTAATGATGCAATTGTCTTATTTTAATTTAAATTATGCTAATGCTTACTTCTTTTTCAATGATAAGAAAAACCGAAAAAAAAAGTTTTAATGAAATATTTATGAAAAATGAATTTAAGCAAATGCTAAATGTCAACTAAAAAGATTTACTTGATTAATTTAAATAACACTAGCTATCAGATGTGATCATTCACTGAATATAACAGGAATCAAGCGTCCGGTTGCTTCCATTTTCCGGATTTCATTTTCATTGTATTGGTATTAGTTTCAATGTCTAATAAAAAGTATAGCATTTTTCTTTTTTATTCAATTTTTTTTATCACAAATAAATCTCATTTTTTGAAAGCAATTCACAGATTAATTCAGGAATTACACTAAAATATCAGAATATCTTGCCGAAAGATTTTTTCCTACAAAAAAAACCGGAAAATAACTGATACAAAAAAAAAAAGGACAAAAAAAGTCTTGGCCAATTTTTTGTTCATAGCCAAGAGTTGATGTAATGGGAGTTGAATGGAAAATTTTCTCTTAGCATACATATACATATCTTTATGCGTAGACAAATCAAATCTATCGCTATCATTAATATAGGATTGATAAATTTGAGCAAGAATGATTTTAATTGATAGAAATGATAAATTATCTTATCTTAATTCATTGAAAGAGTGTAATTATTGATTAATGCTTTTTTTTTTTAAACTTTTGATCGCTTCCATTCTTATTTATTCTTTTTTGATCATAAAGATTTATCACAAAGTCATTTTTTATCACTAAAGATAACAATTGTTCGGACAATTCTTTTCGATCATATGATGACAAAAAAAAAAAAAAAATGTGAACAGAAAATCATCCGGAAAGTGACATTGATATAAGCATGAAAAGATTAAGTTTAAGGATTAAAAAAATTCAAAGATTGTACGATATGCCAAAACCGGCATGACCGATTTTGTTGCCTATAACGGTTCAAGTTTGAGATTTTGCTTACCTGAACATTTTTAATTGGCTATATGTTAATTGCCTATGCAAACAATAACAATAGCTTAATAAATGCATGGAAAATTATTCGTAATTAATCAAATATTTTTCATTCCAATGTAGCATTTGCATGTTTTACAGTAAAGTGATAAGATACTGTATTGTAGAATAGATTGAAATTTATAAATTGATAAAAGACAAGAGGAAGAAAACGATAGAATGGACGCTGTCACAAAGTCGTCACCAAAGGCTGCGAAAAAATCATCGCCAATTTATGCAAAAAAAGCGGTGGAAGAAAACAATTTCAGTCGTGAAAATCGAATTCTTAGTCAAATAAAGCGTAAAATTGCCACTTATCAGGTGGAATTTGATAATATTACAAATTATCATTCATAAATCAACAATGCGGATATGTTTAAAAAATTAAAATAAACAAAATTGCCACTTATCAGGCGGGATTTGATAACATTATCAGTCATAAATTATCAATGCGGATATATTTAAAAAATTAAAACAAATAAAATTGCCATTCGTTAGATGGGATTTGATAACATTACAAGCTATCATTCATAAGTTATCAATGCTGATATATTGAAAAAATTAAAATTAATTGGAAAAGAATGACATATATTGAGTGGATAAGATGGCTTTGATAAAATGATCAAATTAGCATACCAAACATGCAACAAATGTGTAAACTATGAGATCAGTGATACATTTTTATAAATGAAATAAATATTGGGTGATAAGATAATTTCGATAAAATGATAAAATTAGCCTTATAAAAATGACAAAATTAGCTAAAATGATAAAATTAGCCTTATAAAAATGACAAAATTAGCTAAAATGATAAAATTAGCCTTATAAAAATGACAAAATTAGCTAAAATGATAAAATTAGCCTTATTAAAAATGACAAAATTAGCTAAAATGTA